CTGGGCACACCTACACCTGGATACCCTCACACCTGGGCACACATCACCTGCATATCCTCACACCTGGGCACACCCATACCTGCGTACCCTCAAACCTGGGCACACATCACCTGCGTACCCTCACACCTGGGCACACCTACACCTGGATACCCTCACACCTGGGCGATTGCATGTCCATGGACACCCAACTCTGCACCTTCACCGACACCCAGATTTAAGCCCCATCCGCACGTCCCTGGCCAGCCCAGACCACACCCAGCTCTCAGACCCTCCCCCCAGGGACCCAGGCACCCGCCTCCGCCCCAGCCTCAGCCCTGCCCCTGACCTGTCGGAACTTGGCTCGGGCTTCCTTCTCCTTCATGCGGCCGTGCGACACGAGGTAGTCAAACACTTCTCCTGCAGGGCAGAGGCAGGTAGGGTCAGGGAAGCGGTGCGGGGGTCAAGGGAGGATGGAGGCAGGGGAGGGGTGGGGTCTCACCGGCACTTGCGTATTCCATCACCAGGTACAGTGTCTTCTCAGTCTCGATCACCTCGAAGAGCTTCACTGCAACGGCCGGGGTGGTGCGGGGGCAGGGGGTTAGGTGGGAAGAACCCCCCCACCTCTACTTAGTAACTACGGGGATGTGCCAACCATATTACCCCTACTCAGGAACCCTCCATGGCTCCCTACTGATGGCCAGATTTCCCGAACTCCTCAGCCTCACTTTGCCACCTTTTCCACCTGGTCTCGCACAAGAACATCAGCTCGAGGCCAGGGATTTGTGCCTGTTTACTGCCGTGCCCCGGCGCCCGCACACAGCAGCCGCTCAGTCAGTATTTACCGAGTCCATGAATGAATGGACGAACGAATGCTGCGGCCACATCCAGGACAGGCTAAACTCTGCTTGTCTCAGTGAAGACCCCTCTCCCCGCTCTGACTAATGACAACGACAATGATGATGATGTCGCTAGTGATGAAAAGGCCCAGACCAGCTCCCGTAGCTCAGGCCTGAACTAAGCATTTCGATGCATGATCGTATCCGATTCTCACAGTGACCTTGTAATAAGCCCTCTTCTCACCCCCACTCCAGCAAGAGGAAGAAAGGCTCAGAGAGGTTAAGTGACTTGCTCAAGATCACACAGCAGTGATGCTACTATGAGAAACGAGGTCTCTCTAACTATTTTATAATCACTGCCCACGGCCCTCCCACCCCAATTCTGTCCTTTCCCTAGCGCCCTGGGTGGTCGCCTGCCTCTGATCCCGCCCCCTTCCCCTCCTCACCGATGTTGGGGTGGTTTAAGCCCTTCATGATGCGGACTTCTCGGAACAGCTGGGCCCGGCCGGAAAGGAAGACAGAGAAGAGTGAGGGCGGGTGGTTTGGGGGATCCTCTCCCATGCCAGGCCGAAGCAGGAGGGGTTGGGCAGGTCACCCGGCTGTCCCCGGAACCTGGCCCCCACTCTGCTGCCTCTCCCTGGGCCTCACCTTCTGCAGGCTGCTGGGGTTCAGCTGGGTTTTGTCGATGATCTTGATGGCGACCTAGAGGTGGAGGAAAGAAACGGGGAAGGTCAAGGTACCAGGGGCCCTTGATGTGGGGGGAGGTTCCCCAACTCACATCATGCTCGGATATCATTCCTTTGCCCCCTCTCCCAGAAGAGCCCTCAATCTGGGCCATTCCTAGTGGATGGGGGAACTTGGGCCTCAGGGCCTTTGCACATGCTCTTCCCGCCATCTCCAATGCTACCCTTACTTCTGCAACAAAATATCCCCTATTCCATGGTAGGGCCGGGACGAGTCTGTTCCAGAGGCCTGTGTTAGGGTGACCAAGATCTTGAGGGGATCCCTTTGTTAGGGCATCTCAGATCATTTGTTCATCACATCTTTGTTCTGAACACATGAACTGTGGAATAATAAACAACCAGCTAACATTTACTGAGCACTCAGTCTGTGGTCTATGTGCTTTATCAATAAGAACTCTTTTAATCCCTCCCGACAACCCTATGAGTGCTAGGATTATTCCCATTTTACAAGTGGGGAAACTGAGGCACAGAGCGGTTCAGTCACTTTGCCAAGGTTACATGGCTAGTAAGTTGTGGGCTGGATTTGAACTTATGCGTTCTGATAAAGTCTACCTCTTAAACACTTAAAACTTTAAAATACACATATATATTTTTAAAGAGCTTTGAGACAGCACAGGAGGAAAAATCAGAATGTTATTGGGTAAGTTTTTACTTTGAATTACACACTGGGGTAGAGCAGTGTACGTTTTTCAGTAGTGAACGACCTTTAATAGTCTTAATCCAGCCCTGGGTCTATATAGTTTGCCCGAAGGGTTTTGGGGCCACGTCCCCAAACCCCCCAGATCTACTGGATTAAAGAACTCTTCCCCTGGGAGGCCTTGTTCCCTTAGAAGCTGGTCCTCTCAGAACCCCCTGGAGTCCTGTGCGAGATCCACATATGGAGAATGATGTGTCTGTGGGGGAGAGGGTCCCCAGCTTCCCTCATATTCTCACGAATGGGTTTTTAAAAAATTTGTCAAACACTTTTTATGCCAGTATTGAGACGATCATATGGTTTCTCTCCTTTAGTCTGGGAATGTGGTGAAGTACATGAATAAATTGTCAAATGAAAAAGAACTTTGCATTCCTGAGATAAACCCAGCTTTGTTACCATACAGCATTTCTTTTACTGATTCGCCAGATTCTAGTTAATATTTTAAGATATTTGTATCTATGTTCGAGCGTAAGACCGGCCTGTAATTTTGTTTCTTGTCTGTTTTTGCTCTTACGGCCAAGCTAGCACATAAAAATCAGCTGGGCGGTGGAACCTCTTTCTTTAGTCTCTGGAAGAATCGGCATAACATCTGAATGTTTGGTAGAATTTGCCCATAAAACTCTCGGGGCCTGGTGTCTTTTGTGCGTATGGTGGAGACAGCATGAAGGTAGGGGAGAAGAAATTGCTCCAGTCATTTCTCGAAAGTTGAAGGGGAGTGCAGAGGAAATCATGAAACCACCCACCATCTTTGTTTTCATTTAAGTGTGAGTTAGAGGCTTCATATCTAGGTCATGAGGTCTGGGTGGTCCCTCTCTGCAAAGAGTATTGCCATACTCAGCACAGGTGCCCACTCTGGAAGGGAAGGTGGGGAGACTGAGGCTGTGTGTAACTACAACACAACAGGAATAAACCCGGTGTATCCTCAAGATCACTGGAAGATTTCAAGGAACCAAAGTCCACCATTAAAACAGGGAGACAGCCGCAGGTTGACGCACAAAGGCCACGTGCATCCTTAGCAATGCAACACGCGGCTCTCGCTGTGCTACAGATAATTCCAGGGACGTCTGAAATTCGGTTCTCTTTTTCCCACTGGGGTTGTTCTGGGAAAATCTGAGATATTACAACCTGTCCCAGCAAATGAGGGTCGACCCTGATCTCTACCAACCTCCCCCGAGGCTCCGGTGCTGCAGGGTCCCGTCCTGAGCCTGCCCCATCCCCGTACTCACCTCCCGACCGGTGAGGATGTGCCGAGCCAGCTTGACTTTGGCAAAGTTGCCCTTCCCGATGGTCCTCAGCAGGCGGTAGTTGCCCACGTGGGGCTGCTCCTCGGGACAGGAGGCGATGGAGTTCCGGCAGCGGGCACCCAGGGAGCGGCTGGACCAGGACGGCCCTTTGTCTGAGGAGCGGCCACTGCCCAAGGTGCCATGCTGGGTGGGGGAGACGCAGCGTGAGCTGTCCAATCCCGCCTTCAGTGGCACCCATGGGCCGGGGCCATGAACTCTAGCCCTGGTCACGAGCCCCCCTGTGGCCCTTTTAAAACTCAGGCCATAGAGAACCGTGATGGCTTTGGATGCTCCATCTGTCTCTACAAAAAGATGCCTCTGAGAACAAAAGCCCCGGCGTCTCCCAAATTGACAGCACCCGGGTCCCCAGACATTGGGCCTCTTCTTCACCGCTCACTGCAGTCTGTCTACCCCCAACTTCCTTTTTTAGTTACAAGCCTACCTAGGAGACACGGCAGGTTCGTTTCCAGACCACCACAACAAAGTATCGCATCGCAATACAGCAAGCCACTCGAATTTTTTTGGTTTCCCAGTGCATATAAAAGTTATAAACGTAACTATGCTACAGTCTCTTGAGTGTGCAATAGCATTACGTCTAAAAAAAAAAAATGAGCATACATTAATTAAAAAACACTGTATTGCTAAAATATGCTGACGATCATCTGCACTTTTAGTGAGTCATGATCAAAGATCGTGGTCACAGATCACCACAGCCTGCAATCACGGTGAAGAAGTTTGAAATATTGTGAGAATTAGCAAGATGCGACACAGACACGCAGTGAGCACATGGCGGCGCACGACAGTGCCGAGAGGCTTGCGTGACGTAGGGTTGCCACAAACCTTCCATTTGTTAAAAAAATGCCACCTCTGCGAAGTGCAACGAAGTGGGGGAGCTATGCCTGCCCGGGGCCTCCGTCATCTCCGCGACATTTTGTTCTAAACGCTGCAGCTTTGAACCCTCATCGACGCTCGGTCTGGACTCAACACTCCGCCACGGCCAGCACTGGGCCGGCCATTGGTCACTGTCTCTGCTCTAGCCCCAATTCTACTCCACACCCAAAGGTCAACATTGTATGCCCGGTTTACTGTCCCTAACATTTTATTCCAATCATTGTCACCCCAGATTGGGCTCCAAACACTGTAACCAAGTCTTTCATTTTGCCCTGAAGTCCTGGTTGAGTCATTGTTACCTTCCTTCCGTGAGAAACATTGTTGCTTCCGCCGCCCCATGAAACGCTGCCGCTTGATCCGCGCCCTGACCTGCTGTCTCCCACACCGCCGCTCCTCTCTGTCCCTGTCCCCGACGCTCTGTTCCTGCTGTCCTGTCCCTCCCGGGCCTCTCTCCCCCGCACGTCACCTGCCTGCTCCGAGCTGCCCTGGCCTGATTGCGAGCCCCAGGGACGGCGCCTCCCTTTCAGGGCTGGGGCCCAGGGTGCCAGAGGCCCCGGACAAGACAGCTCTGCCCCTGTCCCCGTCCCAGGGCTGGGCAGCAAACACGCGAACAAAGGGAGCCGAGGAAGAAAGAAGGCCAGGTGGCCAGTGGGCTCGGGGCCTGGTTCTGGTCTCCGCCAGGCCACTTAATATCGGTGACAAGCAACATTTAATGAGTGCTGGTCACTTATGCAATACGATGCCGCGTACCACATTATCACCCCCATTTTACAGGTGGGGAAACTGAGGCCCAGAGCTGGGATCTGAACCCAGACAATCTGCCCTGGAGTTGAAGCTCTTCACTTTCCCCCCCGCTATATGCCGCACGTGCCCGATCCATTTCTATTAAGCAGCCCGTGCCAAGGGCCCTACATTTAATCCCCACGGAGGGAAGCGCCTGCTCCTCCGAGCTCCAAGAAGAGAAACTGAGCCTTGGAGAGAGGGTGGCTTGTGAAGGTCACACAGTTCATCCCCAAGGGGCAGGAAGACAATCCCCCCACGGCTGGGCAGTACCAAGCACCGCTGCTGGGGCTCCGAACACGCGGCCGCGGCCCATGGTCTCCAGTTGGGTCCGGCTATGATCTGTACTCCCCAACAGGGACCCCAGGGCTCAGGCAGGGGGAGTACCTTGCCCAAGGTCACAGGGCAGATGGAGGATGGAGCAGAGTGCCTGGGATTCGAACCTGGGCCTGCTGACTGCTCCTGAGCACGGGGCTCTTTCCCACATCCCACCGGGGTGGCGCACCCCAGGCTGCCTCCCAGGGGAGGCTGGGAGGGGGGTGGCGATCAGGGCGACGGGCCTCCCATCCCCCCCGAGATAAGGGCTTGGAGAAGACTCCCTGTCAGGTGGCAGCAGGGAAGCCAACTACAGATGGGATGGCACCCCACGGAAGGCAGCATGGCTGCAGGACCCCTGGGGGCGCAGCTGGGGCAATGGGTGACAAAGGCCCCAGGGGCTGGGGGCGGGAGCTAAAATTGGCCAGTACCACCAGCTGGCCTGGCTCCCTCCTGCCCGGCTGGTGCCCCAACACTGGGGCCTGTTGCTAGGGAATCTAGGGAGGCTGGCCCCCTGGTGGGGGGCCCTGGAACTTGGAGGGGGGAGCATGACCCCAAGTGGCCTTGGCCATGGTAACCAGGTAGCAGGGGTAGGGGTTACAACCTCAGATGCCAGGACAGACAGGTGACACCCTGCCGGGACTGACAAGCATGTCTTCTTGACTAGAGGTGGAGGACAGAGAAGGGATTAGCCATCCTCAAATCCCCTCCCGGCACACTTCTTAACAACAAAGGGACACCGAGTCTTCATGTGAGCCCCATTTTACAGACAAGGAGACCAAGGCTCAGAGAGATGAGGTCACTTGCCCGAGGTCACACAGCTAGGGAGAGACAGAAACTGGGTTTCACCCAAGTTCACCTGAATAATTAGACTAATAGTAATGACAACAATAGCAGCTACAACATGCTGGCCCAGTGCACCTTACTGACATCATCCTGTTGGCTCCCGAACACACCCCTGGCAGGAGGTGCTATCATCGACCCCACTTAGAGATAAGGAAACTGAGGCTCCAAGCTGGGAGGGGATCTGCAAGCTCACTCAACAACTAATGACAGCCCTGGCTTGAGAATCCACGGGCCATGTGACTCATATCCACAGTCCCAACAGCAGCGACCATGTGGAGCACTTCCCATGTGCCAGGCTTCCCCCAGGCTGAGCAGCCTTCCGAGGGACTCGAGCGCTCACCCCTATTTTCCAGGGCCAGAAACTGAGGCTCAGAAAGGGAGAACCAGTTGTCTGAGGGCACAGGCAAACCAGCCACCAGCGCCAGCATTTGAACCCAGGACTGGGGACTCCCTGGCACCTCCCAGTAGTGACCAGGGAAGGCAGGTGGGTGGGCATTTCATCACACTCCAACCTGGTGTCTGGCCCGCAGCAATGATGGGGGGCGGGGGAGGGTCCCGCGAGATGAACAAGGGGCGAAGATAAATCTCTCTGGTGGGGACCTGGGGTGGGGGAGGCAGGGGAGGGCGCAGGGACCTGGCAGAAGGCCTGGGCAAAAGGGACAAAGACCTCCACTGGAGAGAGGGCTGGGAATGGCTGGGGGGCGGGTCTTTAGAAGCACTTAGAGTGATCAGAAACATGGGACATGGCGGGGGAGTGGGGTCTCCCTCGGATTATCCGGGTTGCAGTGTAGGGGCAGGGGAGTCCAGGAATGGAAGAAGTGACGAAGCCGTGGGGACAGGGGAAATCAGAGGCCAGGAATCCCTGGGACTTGGGGGAATCTCCTAGAAATCAGAGAGGGGGGATCCTGGGAGCAATCCTTAAAACCAGAAAAGGGGCTGGGGGCAGCGCCTGTGGGGGAAGGGGCTTCCTGGGCAAGGGGTAGCCTCGAGGAATAAGGGCTGAGCCTTATGGGAAGTCAAGAGGTCTAGGAATTTGGGGAGAAGATTCCAACAGATTGACCCTAAGAGAAGAGGCTTAAAGCCAGGGCAAGACCACAGACTTCAAGTCCAGGAGTCTTCTGGAAAAAGGATGTGGGGCCAGGCCCCGTGAGCTGAGGAGGGGGCTTCCTCAGGAGGCCAGACCCCCAGTGAGGAAGGGGGAGGCCCTGGGGCAGGAGAAAGGATGGTGGCCTAGGAGGAAGGGGCCTGGCTCGGCCTAGGAAGGAGGTCCTAGGTCGGGAGGCTGGGGTTTGGGGAGGGGGCTTGCCCGAGGCTGAGGAGTTGACACAGGGAGGAGGAGGCCCGAAGTCGGACTGGTCCAGGGCCTAGAAATCCCAGCCTGGGCTGGGTGGGGGCCCGGAGGTTGGAGGCCCAGGCTTCTTGGGAGAGGAGGAGACCAGAGAGGGTCCAGGTGGCATCTGGGGGCCCCAGGGTGCTGGGATCCGGGGACGAGGCTGCTCGGAAGATGGGGACCAGGCCTGGGCATGGAGAGACCTTGAAGAAGCCAGGAGAGGCCCTGGGCCCAGGCAAGGCGGAAACCCTCCTGCGAGGGCGCCCACGGGGGCAGGGTGGGTCCTGGAGGGGCAGAGGGCCAGAGTGAGAGGGGGGGCCCTGGGGGACCGGCTCCCAGCCTCAGACGAGGAAGGCCGGCCCAGAGGCAGGACCGGGCCAGGCCTTGCCGGGAGAGGGCCGGGGCTGGGCCTTGGGGGGTCAGGGGCCCTGCAAATCCGGGAGGGGCGAGTTGTCGGAAGCAGACGGCCTGGAGGGGAAAGGGCTCAGAACACGCCAGAGAAGGGAGGGGCTCCTGGAAGCAGGGGAGGGGGCTTCCTGGAGGGAAGAGTCCCGAGCGGAAGCGGTCTGCACGGGGACAAGACAGGGGTCCCCAGAGAGGGGCGCCCCCAGGGGTCGGGCTGGGCTGAGGAGGTGGGGAGGGCCGAGCGGCACGGAAGTCCGGGAGGGGGTCAGGAGGTGGCGAGCCGGGTCGAGCCCGGGAATCGCGAGTAGGGGCTCGCGGGGTGAGGGACACGGCGGGGCAAGAGGTTTGGCGGCCGGACCCAGCCAGGGCTCCCCAAGGGGCCGGGCCCCACTCACCGTGTCCGAGTTCCGATCGTTGCCCGGGGCCAGGGCCGTCCGCGAAGACATCTTCTCCGGGTCCCGGGGGGCAAGGGCGGCCGGGTGGGGGGGGCGGGGATCCTGGGGTCCCCACTCTTCCCCTCCCCCCCCGCCGGCCTGGGGACGCGAGCTCAAAAGCTGGGCGCCGTGAACGCCCGAATCCGCGCCGCGGAAGAGGGGGCAGGGCGGGGGAGGGGAGGGGACGCCGAGGGTCCTAGTGGCCCCGCGCAGCTGGGGCCCCGGACGCCATGGGGGCGGCGGGCAGTCGGGCTGGCGGGCTGGTGGGGGCCGCGGAGGGGGCGCGGAGCCGGCCCGGGCGGTGGCGGAGGGAGGCGGCGGAGGGGCCGGGGAGGAAGGGACGTCAGGGGGAGGGGTGGCCAGGGCGGGGCCGCCGAGACCCCGCCCCCCGCCGCCGGCCCTTAAAGGCGCAGGCCCGGGCTGGCCGGGGGCTCTGGGGGCGGAGGCAGGTCTGGGCGCGCTGGTGGGGAGCGTGTTCCCACAGGACGGTGGCGACTCACGGGCGAAGAGAGAAGGGGAGAGAAACGCCGGGGCAGAGCGCCAGAGACGCAGAGAAAGTAGTGAGAGACGTAGAGACAGAGACACACAGAAAGAGACGGGGATACAAAGGGACAGAGAGACACGGAGACAGGAGGGAAGCGCAGAGACACGGCAGGGTGAACAGAGTCGAAGGAGGACAGAAAGAGGGACAAACGCAGGGAGCAAAAGACAGAGTGTGGGAGGTGCAGAGAGACCGAGAGCTGCAGAGACAGAGAAACAAAGACTGAGAGAGAGAGACAGAAAGAGACAAAGAGATACACACAGAGACGCAGAGATCTGTGGGGCAGGACCCGGGCGCCCCACACCCTCACTCCCGGCCCACCCTCTCCCCAGTCGTGGGGCCCACGAAGCTCTGCACAGAGGCCTACGGGTGCGGAGGGGTGGCCGCTGCAGAGGCTGGCTGACCTCCCTAGTGATGCTGCCTCGCCCCCCACAGCTCCAGACCCCAGGGCTGGGGCCGCAGTGTCCTCTCCGCTGCACCCCAGCTGGGGCCTGAGGACCCTTTCTGTCCGGCTGTAGGACCTGGGGGCAGGAACTTGTGCTTTCTGGGCCTCACTTTTCCAGTTTGTAAAATGAGGAGAAGGACCCGCATGGGACTCTCTGGCAGGGTTGATGCAGGGGCAGAGGAACCCCGTGCGGGGTGTCACCTACAGGACACAGCCGCTCTCCAGATGGGCACACTCAGACCTTGCCGAAGCCACACGGTGCTGTGGGGGCCGCCCGTGCCCTCTAGACCAGGGTAGGATGAACGAAAGGGGCTTTGTGTAGTCCTGGCCCCGAATCACACAGTCCTGGGATGGGGTCTGTGCCCTGCCCGGCCCCTGCCCCTGTCTATCTGACCACCTTCTTGGGCCTCAGTTTCCCTTTCAAAAGAATGGGTGTGTTGGTAACGGGAGTGTGCTGGAGCTGGCTCAGGCGAGCTGATTGCCAAACAAGCTGATTGTTACAGTCTCAGGAATTTTGGAACTGGTTGTTAACCACAGCCATTGTTAGAAATTAAATTATGCAAACATACAATTAAATAAATTGTATTAATAGTACAGGTAATACATACTCATCATGTCCAAATTATTTGGCTACATTTACTATTATCTACGATCGTGAGGTTATTTACGTGTATTTTATCTGCATAGTGAAACTACCATATAATGGTGGGCTACTGTGCGCCTCTCCTCCAAAAACGCTTTGAACGACATCACCTCTGTAGCCTGAAATTAGCTACCATGGGAATATTTACACCATGGAAATTGGCCAGTGCTGCAAATCAAGGCTCTCCAACTCCCAGCGGCAGAGAGCTGGTTGTTGAACATTAACTGGTTGAAACTATCACCTACATAGAGGCATGGAGGCTTCCCCTTTGCCAGGCCCTGAGCACTTTATCCTTCCTGCCACTCCATGAGATGGGGCGCATCGTTATCAACCCCATTTACAGATGAGGAAACAGAGGCCCAAGGAAGAAAAGTCACATCTGAAGGACACACAACTAGTGAGTGGCAGGGCTGGGATTTGAACTCCAAGTGCCCCCAAACTCCAGAACTTGGACTTTTAACCACTATGGTTTCCTGTCCCTGAATAATAATAGTAGCAACCTCAGGCTGCGACAAATCAATGAAAATATATAAGTAAAGCGCTTCACAGGGTGTCAGATTAGAACTTCCTACGTAGGGACATTCTTATTCTTACTTAGCAAATGGGGCCTGAGGAGTCTCAGGGATGGAAGCAGAGAGGGAGGAGTTCAGGATAGTGTTCTAGAAGCACCCAAGGGCCCTGCAGGGTGAGGAATGGGGTCTTGGGGATGGGATGGAGGGGCTGACGCCCCCCAACCATGTCCCAGCCCCGGCACTGAGAGCTGTAGTTCTCCCTGCGCCACAAGGGGACAGCAGATCACCTCCCTGCACACATCAGCACCTCCCCACACGGCACTGCCTCGCTCCCCTGTCCCCAGCGCTGTCCCCACCCCATTTCCCAGATGAGGGGACTGAGGCTTACAGAGGGACGGCTATAAATGGATAAATCTTGAAAACATTGTGCTGTAAGTGATAGGAGCCAGTCACAAAAGGCCACAGTGTGTATGATCCCATTTCCATGAAACATCCAGAACAGGCAGCTCCACAGAGACAGGAAGGGGACGAGTGGTTGCAGGGCCTGGGGGGCGGGGAGTAACTGGGAGCGACTGCTAATGGTGTGGGGGTTTACTTTTTGGGGTGATGAAAATGTTCGGGAATTAGATAGCGGCAATGCTCGCCACAACTTTATGAATATACTAAAACCCACTGGACTGTATGGTTTACAAGAGTGAATTTTATGGCATGTGAATTACATCTTAATAAAAAAATTAAATTAAAAAAGGGGGGAGGTCTGACAGCGATTACAGCCCACGACAAGCCACTGATGACCACGGGGAAAGGGGGTCGAGGCCTGTTCCTCCCCCTCCCCTTTTGGCCACCTAACCAGCCCCTCCCCCACAGCCTGGGGGAGGGGAATTCAGTCTTCAACTGAAGACTTCAGCCCTTTGAATCTTAACCCTGGGTCGCTTCCCCATCTGCTGGGATTGGGGGAGGAGCTGCGATCCTAATGCGGACCCCAGCCCCAAGTTTGCCTAGGCTGGTGAGCCCTCCTCCCTCTCCGGTTGTGCCTAAACCCAAAACCCAGCCTTTAAAAGTAACCCTAACTCCCACACCCAACCGCACACGAGGCCCCACCCAGCCCCAGCCCCAGCTACACCCGCCGTGTGGACCTTCACTGTGGCAGAAGCCCACCCCAGACCCCCTCCTGTCCTCAGTGCCACCACTCCGTCCCCACTGATACAATCCTTTCACAAGTCCCCACTGTGCGCCTGCTGTGGGCCAGGCAGGCAGCTAGGGATGCGACCTGACCTGGAGTCCCCTTGCTGAATTTACATTTCGGTGGGAGGGACAGTCCTGAGAATCTGCGAGGAAGCCAGATGCCTCTGATAACTTCAGATTGTGGAAGGTGCTACAAAGGAATTGGCATATCAGAGTGACATCCCTGGGAGAGAGGGGACCCAGAGGAGCCGAGGAAGGCGCGACAGAGCTGAGACATCAGGAGGGGACCACGCGGAGACCTGGGGCAGGGGCTTTGGGGCAAAGAGAATGAGAGTTCCAGAGGTGTTCCAGTGCCACCCCCATCTGGCCCCAACCCCAGCCTTTGGGCCCAGCAGAACTTCCCTTGAGGGCTTCGCCCCATGGCAGGTACGCCCCTCCCACCCTCCTCTGGTCCAGAGGCCTCAGGGCTTGCAGGCTGGACAGCAGCTTTGGGCTCTAGTCCAGCACAGGGAGTCTCTCGGGGTGCCCAGGGTGGTGGTGTGGCGTTGGGAGGCGTGAAGAGCAGGCGTGAAGAGCAGGCCGGGGTGCTGTGGGCTTCCTGCTCCCCAGCCCAACTGTAGCCTGGCCTGAAAGCGCAGACAGATAATGACTCCTTCCTGCCCCTGGCCCCAGAGAGGGTGGGGTTTCCTGACAGGAAATTGTCCTCCTCCGAGCACCCCCACCTTCAGATCTAAGCTCTTGGCAGTCCTGGCAGAAGTAGCCTGGAGACAGGACAGCAGCAGGGCCAGAGGGACAGGCACGAAGGACGGCGGTGAGTGTGCTGGGGGCCGGGGAAGGATTCACACCCCCCGAGTCCCTCTGGGGAAGAGGCGCTGCCCGGAGTGGGACTGGCCCGGAGTTCAGGAGAACCTGGGTCTTGAACCCAGGAGAGGCTGGGGGCAAAGAGAGAATCGGGGGCCTGACCCCAGGAGGGTGCCGGCGAGAGGGCAGAGAGGAGATGGAGCAGGAGGACGGTGCAGACGAGACCCTGGGGACTCTGGGGCCTCAGAGAGGCTTCGAGGGAACCTTGGGGAGCTTGGAACCACCAAGGGAGAAGAGAGATGAGACGACGTTGGGTCTGATCCCCTCTGAGCCCAGGTGGGAAGACCAAGGCCAGGAAGGCATTGGGTGCTTACTCCAATCCAGCCCAAGAAATGGGGTCTCAGACATGGGAGACAGCGGCAAGAGCTGGGTTGGAGATTCAGTGGGAAGACAGGGGACAGGTTGGAACCGGAGATGTGGATGGGCTTGCAGCGGGCTGGGACGATGACAGGACGATGACAGGACTGGGCTTGCAGCAGCTGGAGTTGGGCTTGGGGACACACAATGTGTCAGGATGGTTCTCTAATGCAGATGCGGGGGACTGGAGGGGACAGATTCTGCAAACAGAGGTCAGGGCCTCTGCGCAGAGGGTTTGGGACTTGGGGGAAAGGCTGGCAGCGAGGAAGAGGAGGAGGGGCCGGAGGAGGGAAGCTCTGGTGGCCAAGACATCCTGCGGAGCGGGAGGCTGGGGGCTTGAGGGATGCCTCGGAAGTGAGTCAGGGGCCGGGCACCGGGAGGCAGACGAGGGGCTGGAGGGGCAGGATGTCAGAGCCAGTTTGCAGGGCGGTGTTGGAGCCAGGAAGAGGAAAGACATCGGGGCCAGTTTTGGGAAAACGTTGCAGCCAGGTTTGGGGGTGCTGGAAATAGTTTCGGGGTATCGGATCTAGTGTAGTGGTGGCGGGGGGATGTTGGAGCCAGGCGGGAGAATCTCAGACCTAGTTTGGACAACGTTGACTTCAGTTGGAGGGAAATTGGAACCTGCAATTTTGGGGTGGAGGTGGAGACAGTTTTGGGGGCGTGCTGGAGCCATTCTGGGAAGAGGCACGTGGAGGCCAGTTTGCAAGATGAAAGTCAGAGGAATCAGTGTGGGGACAGTGTGCGTGCTTGGGGGGTATTGATCACACGCAGCCATGGGGGCTGCAGGCTAGGGGTCGCCAAGGTGGCTGCCTCCCTGGGGGTAGGGACCCATGGAGGCTGGAGCGGGATTGGGGACCGTGTTTCTAGGAACAGCAGGGTTGAGAAGCAACAGCTCAGAGGAAACATCTGGCGCTTTATTTGCACAATTTTGTCCTAGTCTTACAGTGGAATATCATGTAGCACTTAAAGTATGTGAACTAGAGCCATATGGCTAGACAAGGATCAAGCTCGTGTTGCAAGTTCATGATGTGAGCGAAACAATTTATAAAAGCACCATTGCAGGACCCAAACAGTATGGCACCATTCAGAGAGAGCTGGAAACCATGTAAAACAATATATTATTTCTGGATACAAGTCTATGTAGCATGGGCTAAAGATCTGCTTAGACAGACGGACAGCGTATTCCGAATGCTGGTTTTCCTGGGAGAAGGCTGGAGCGAGCGGGGCGGTGAGAGACAGCGGGAGGCTGCAGCGCATTTTTCCTTTAAATAAACCCGAACCCAATACAGCAAATGTTTGCATTAGATGTGGGTAAGATTGCAAGCACAGAGGTGTATATTAAGTTTGTTTTCTGTACTTTTCAGAATGTTTGGATTATTTCACCATTTTAAAAATTGCCCTTCCATGGCTCCCCAGGGCCCGTGGGGGAAAGACGACATCCCTTGTCACGGCATTCAAGGCCCTGTGTGTGGCCAACTTCCTCCTGACCTCTCTCAGGTGGACTCGCCGTGCCTCCTTCCCACCCAAGGAACGAACTGTCTTGCCTCCTTCCTTCCTTCGTTTTCTGTGTAGCACCCGTTCCCCGCGTGCCTGTCCTGTGCTGGGAGCTGGGAACATACATAGTGGTGACTGAGACGCCCCCAGCCCTGCCCTCCTGGGGCTCACAGTCCAGTGGGGAACACAGAGCTGTCCCCAGGCAGTGACGACCTGAAACAGGCAGGGGTGGGATGAGGGAGCCCACGGGCTGAAGGAGCCTGGGAATCAGGGAAGGCTTCCCGGAGGAGGGGGGCATTGAGACTGAGTCCTGAAGCACCAATGGGGCTCTGCTAGTTCATGGGCAGCTGCCGGGCCACGCAGGCTGTGGGTGAGGGGCCTGAGCTTTGTCCCACGGGCACTGGGGAGCCATGGAAGGGTTAGGAGAAGGGGAGGGGCAGGTTTGTGACTTATCAAGGTCATCAAACGTGGACTGGAGGTGCCAAGACCAGAGGCTGGAGACCAGGGAGGAGGCTGGGGCAGGGACGTGGGCAGTGGGAAGGGAGTGAGAGAAGGGACAGCGGACTGGAGAGAGAGACTTAGGAGATGGGATGGGCAGGACTCAGGAAGCCGTGAGCCCTGCCTGGGCAGGGACTGGGTCTGCTTTGGCCACTGCTGTGTCCTCCGTGCCTGCACAGGGCTGGGCCCATGGTAAATAAATGCCAAAGTTTTTTTGTTTGTTTGTTTTAATTGTGGTAAAATACACATAACATAAAATTCACCCTTTTAAACCATTTTATTTATTTATGCTTTTGAGGCAGGGTCTCACTCTGTTGCCCAGGCTGGAGTGCAATGAGTGATGCAACCATAGCTCACTGCGATCTCAGACTCCTGGGCTCAAGCGATCCTCCTGCCTCAGCCTCCCGAGTAGCTGGGACTACAGGCATGCGCCACCATGCCCGGCTAATTTTTCCATTTTTTGTAGAAAAGAGGGCTCGCACTCTTGCTCAGGCTGGTCTTGAACTCCTGGCCTGAAGCCATCCTCCCACCTCGGCCTCCCAAAGTGCTAGGATTACAGGCGGGAGCCACTGCACACGGCCCATTTAAGCCATTTCGAAGTGTACAATTCAGTGGCCTTTAGTGCACTCACGACGTTGTGCAATCATCACTTCTGTCTAGTTCCAGAATATCTTTGTCACCCCAGAAGGAAACCCGTCCCCATCAGCAGCCACTCCCCGCCCTAGGCATCACGACTCTCCTCTCTGTCTCTAAGGATTTGCCTATTCTAGCTGTTTTCCAGTAAGTTTTTACTGAAGGAATGAACGAGGCAGAGACGACAGGGCGTCCTAACCGGACAGGGGACAAGAGGGGGTGGAGGGTTGAGGCAGGTGCCTGGGAGTCTGGCCCGGATGTCTGGGGAGACGGTGGGCCTGGGTCCTCATGCAGCCTCTGCCCTTGGTGGGCTGTGCCACCCTGGGAGACAGCCTTCCTGGCTCTGAGCCTGTTTCTTCACGGAGCAGGAGGACGGACTAAGATCCCGAGTCCTGCAGGCGTCAGGGCAGGAGGGAGGCAGGGAAAGGGTCTGAGCGTTTGTGCTCAGGGGAGGGAACCTGAGCTCTGCAATCAGATGGTCCAAGTGCAAATCCTGGCTCTGTCCCCGAATTCCTGTGGGACCCTAGGCAAGCGCCTTTGCCTATCTGAGCCTCTATTTCCTCATCTGCAAAATGGGCATAATAACAGTCGCCATCTCATTGGAGTGTGCAGATTCAGGGAATTATGAAGTGCTCAGACCTGTGCCCGGTACACACACACTCAAGTGCCCCATCTACAGAGGCGTTGTCACCAACACCACCATTGTCACCAACACCGTCGATGGTCATTGTTTTTCCTCCAGGTCCCCACCTGTGAAGATGCCCATCCTGAAGAGTCTAGGGGTGGCAGACCCTAAGGTGCCCCGTGCGGGGACCCTGCCCCAGAGGTCCTCTCAGAACCCCTTTGAAGAAGTTTCTGGGCTGGAAGAAGAAGAGGCGGGGGAGCTGGGGACGCTGCCCAATGGAACATCTTGCCGTCGCCGCACCACCCTGGAGAAGCTGGCAGGCCTGGCCCCCTTCCAGCTGGGCTGGGCCCCGGGCAGGCGGGCAGGCAGCCCTGGGGATGGGCAGCCCCGCTCTTTCCTGGGCCGTGTGCTGCCACCGGGGTTACGCAGGAGCTCGGCAGACTTTGGCCTCCTGGCCCGGCTTCAGGGGACCCGAGCCCAAGGTGACGAGGAGACAGCCGGGGAGGCGGCCCGGAGACTGGCCTTCCTGAGGCTGGGGCGCGGGCCCAAGCCCCGGCGTGCATCCCTGGCGGAAAGAGTGGTGCCTGCGGGCGAGGCAGCTCCTGAACCCCCGCCCAAGGTCCCGGAGCCCCCAAAGATGAAGGAGCCGTTGTCGGGTGAGTCGGAGGCCCTGCCTGACCTGGACCTGGGAGAATCACGGCGCCTGTTTCCATCCCCAGCCTGGTTGCCCTGGTCTCCATACTTGAGCCCATCCCAGCCTCCCCCCCAATCTAGCCTTCCCCCCACCTGCCATCTTCAACCTCACCTCCACGTCCAGCACCCCAACTTTGGTCCCATCTCCTCTGATCCCCTCCCTACCCCCGATGTCAACCCCCTTCCCCCCAACCTTGAACTTGACCTCATCCCCTTTCAACCTTATGGCCCCACAACCTCCAGGCTCCACCCCTCCCCATGCCCACCCCAGCCTGGCCCCTCCTCCCCCACCCCCAATCCCTTTTCCTTTTCTGTCCCGCCCTGAACCCCAACCCTAACTCCAGCCTAATCCCAAACCCCGCTCCCCAACCTGCACCTTCAGCTTCATCCGTCTCTCAACTCACATCCAAACTTTTACCTTCAAACTCACCCCCAGGCCCAGCCTCCGCCTCACCCCCACCTGCACCCCCCAATCCATCACCACCTGTCTTCGTTTCCCAGGGCTGCCATGACAAAGGACCACAAACTGGGCGGCTCAGGACAGCAGAACCCTATTGTCTCATGGCTCTAAAGTAGGAGATCAGGGCCTGG